CAATGATCAAAACGCAAAATCACAAGAATAAAAATGAAACACTATGTTAAAACACACACAATGATCATCATTTTAACAATCAAATGTCCAAAAATGAAAGATTTAAGAAAAAAAATTGTGAAAACAGTTAAGAACACTCAAGAACATAGAATCACGAAATTCCAGAAATTTCAGCAACTCTTGATGATTTTTTCAAACAAATTTCGCTGCAAACGTGCTCTGATACCAAATGTGAGTCCCTAAAATCACTGATCAATCTTCAATAATCTTCACAATATGGCAGATCTGATATATCATTCAATAACATCATATGAACATAGAGAGAGAAAGTCAAGATCTTTCAATATGGTCAAACCTCTTATTACGTAAAGTATATTACAAATGAGCTCTCCTACTTCCAAATACAAAGACAAGCTACCTATTTATATGGTCAAACCTACTAAACATAGTCAAAGTCAAACTCCTAAAAGAAAAGTCAAACACGCTGACTTTTACAATTATAGACTATATTTAACTTTCAAGACGAATACAATTAATACTGATTTTCAATCCTAACATTTCTTTCAATAATTTCAATATAATTTTTTACAAGGGTATTTGTAAACCAAGGAGTGAATGAAAATAATTCATTTTCCTTTATACAAAATTTATAAAATTCATTTGCGAAATCTTTGATTTCAGAATCAGTAAAGATTTGAAAATACCATTTTAAAAAAGGCTTCCAATTTGGATTTGTTTCAAAATCTTTACAAATAATCTGTCTGGCAGGAGATTCTTTGGTGAAATCAATCTTTTCACCATTAATAAATCAACTTCTTTTAGTCGTATTAATCATTAAATTAAAAACTGAGATCTGACATTTGTGTCAATCTTTCTAGCCTTCTGGACATCATTATCAATAATGCCATTTATGTGAACTCTCAATTCACTAACAGGGTCTTCCAAAGAAGACCTTTGTTCTTCTTCATCTTGAGGAGATATAGGCGTCCTAGTATCTCGCATATAGGATGTAGAAGGCCTTGAAGGCTGATTAACCATATACTCAAAAGGAGATATGTGATTATGAGTCATAGAACTAGATCTTGGAAGATATCTTCTTTTAGTATATATATATATATATATATATATATATATATATCCGTACACATTATATATTATTATTATTATATATAAATATTAGTATTATAATTTTATCTTACTTAT